CGCTGTCCGTGGGGGCAGCAAGGCGGAACTCCATTTGCGGGCGCTGGCCGCCCGCCGCGTGCGTGACGTGAGCCACAACGCCGCTTGCACACCACGCCGTCTCAAAGTCGACAACTGAAAACTGCCTGCGCCGCCTTGCAGCGGGGAACCAGCTCTGCCGCACGCCCTCCATGTTGGTGATGTCCGTCGTAGCTCGCAGCCAGTCGGCGCGCACGAGGCGCCGCGTGTTATGCATGGGTCCCCGCTTTGCGCGTGGTGCCGGGCTCTCCCCTTCTGCCCCAAATGATTTTGAGGTTGGGGGAAGGGTTGCGGCGTTGTGGCTTGGAAGATGGCGGTTTCTCGGGGTTTCCCGCGGCTGCAGCCCTGCCTCGTACCTGTGTGTGTGCCAGATCCTTGCTCTCGGTGACTGGCCACATGCTCTACCCCCTGCCTGTCTGCAACGAGTGCGATGCAAATGCACCAGTGAAAGATCATGGAGCTGCACGTTGCAGCTGCGTGTAACAATTAAATTTCAAGCGAAGCCTCAACCAGTCAAGACTTCAGTGCAGGTCAAGGTGCCAGGATTGCAACACACCACCAACAGCCGTGTACCACCACCCCTACTAAAACAATGTGCCACTATCACGAATAACTGTGAACATACTGCACATCGCTGTGCAGCTGTCGCTTGCTGAGTTGTGTTTGTTGTGATAAGAGCCAGCAATTGTTTCCATGTATGCAATGTGCTCATCCATGCTCAAGGCATGCGGCCGCCCAAATCATGGAAGAGTGGCCCAAATCAAAGCTAGCTGTCTTCCGCACTGCCTCCCAAGCCGCCGCTGCCGCCACTAGCTGCATCCTCAACGCTTCTCCCGCTTGTGAAGTAACGGGCCTCATCTTCCGGGGCTTGCCTGCGACAAAAGATTGGGTTGGGCACATTGCAATCACACGAGCGACGACGCAGCCAACACAAACGAAGGACAACGACTGGGATGAGAGGTGCCGTACCGCACAACTGACCATGTCGAGTGGCTCGCGTGGACAAGCCGTGTGGACGCCCTGATTAAGTGCCACTTGTGACGGGCTAAACCGCTTTTTACGCCCAGGAGGACCCCTGCCTTGCTTCGCGCAGAGTGTGCGTGCATTCGTCTGCGCAAGTGTTCTGTCACAAGTGCAATGCAATGAGCATGCGTGTGTGTGCATGTTTGTGTGTGCGTGTGTATGTGTGTATGCGGTGTGTGTGTGTGTGTGTATGTGTGTGTGCACACGCGCGCGCGCACTGACACGAAGGAATCGGGGCGATACCTAAAAACTGCGCTCTCCTGGATGAGGCCGTCCTGGTTGAACGCCACAAGAGTGATCCCCTTGAAGGAAACACGGCGCCCAGACGGCGCTTGGTCGCGGATAGGGCCCAGGTTTGTGCCCGATGCGCTCCTGTGTTTGCGTGAGCAAAGGCCTTGCCTATCGTACGCCAATGTGGCAGTCGAACATGTCTGTAAAATGGAGCCTCGACCCCAAGAAAAATCAACACGAGTGGATGTTGTCGCGCCATGCCCACACCAGCCAAACCAACACTCATAATCCCCCAGAAAGTACAAAGGGCGGGGATAGGGCTGACTTTGATGCCTGCTGGGGCAGGACCACACGCAACACAATCACCCATAGCAGCGGAGCCGGGCCCTCAACGCGTGCTTACCATGACACGAACACTTTGTCTGCGCCCTCAACCACTGCCACATCCTCGACATTGAACCTGTGGGGGAACGGATGGGCCCCGGAGGGGGGGGCGTACGCAAGCACGACAACCGTCGACGCCGAGCGCGCCGACGCCATGCCCGGCGTACCCGCCCTTTTTGAGGTGGTGCGTGACGCTGGCCGACTGGCAACTGCAGCCCGGTGCGTGCACAAGCGGGCGCGCGCGCGCATGCCTGTCCATACGTGCCGTATTTGTGCGCTCATGCGCGTGTCAACATGACGACAACGGCGCGGCGGCATCGGGTTTGGGAGCTGGGCTGCCGCGGCTTGGGGCGGCGTGTACGGAGCAAGGCGGCCTGTCCCGAGCCCTGAACCCTGAGCCATGTCGGCAGCCCTCCCGAGAAGCAAGCAGCCTTAATGCCGACCTGATGTCGGGGTAGGCGGCCCTGTAAGCCAGAATGCCCCGCTTCAGCCGCCGCCGCCCCCCTCCGCTGCTGTCCGGCTGCCGGTGGGCGGGCGTTGCAGTGGGCGGCGCGGCTGGTCAGGGCGCGAGCGCCAGCAGCCTGCAGCAGGTCCGGCGCGGCCGCTTCCGGCTGCCGGCCTCGCGTGGCAATGCTTTGTTCCTGCTCAGGCCGTGCCGCAAGCGCGGGGCGTGCACGGTGCTGCCACCGGCGGCCGGCCGCGCCGGGCGAGCAGCGCCACGAACAGGCGCAGATGCTGGCTCGGTCGCCGCTGCCGCACCTGCCAGATCATGTCGAGCTGCCTGTGGTCCTCCGCCATGATCTGATCCAGCAGCAGCACCTTGCCCTCCGACCAGGCGCGCTCGTACAACTGTGCTCGGGGCCGGGGGCGAGGGACTGTCGGGTGGAACCGCACTAAGCGTGGGGGCCCTGGCTCAAGCATGACGTCGCTGAGCACACACGATGGGAAATCGGCAGAGTCAGTGCGAGATCTGATTGCTACAAATGTATGCGCCGCACCCCAGCACACCTGCCGTGCCCGTTCGGCCAGCAGCTCCCGGTGGCAGGCAGCGGCGGCACAGCGGAGCGGCGGTGTCGCGCTGCGCCAGCTTTGGGCGGCCGGCCATGAATGGCTCGGCCGCAGCCGCAACGGTCCTGCTCGTCGCAACTGCATAGAGCTTGTCTTCTCAGCAAAACTGAGGCTGTGTAGAGCGCCCCCTTGTGAAATTTTGTTTCGTTGGGTGCAGATCTCGTAATATGGTCCCACTGCAGGCATTAACTCGCCAGTTTGTTTCTTGATTCGATCAAAGGATGCTAGATGACACGATCACGTTGCGTTCCTGTCTTCGCGACCCGCAGAGGCCTCGCTGCCTCTTGCGAGTGATCCACGGGACTTTTCGGCACTCTTGTCAGCCGCCAACGTTTTCTTTATCCGGTGTATGTGACAGGACCGTATCAATGATATTCTGACTGCGCTTCTTCGTCGCCAGCTCTCGTATCATATCGGATCCACACGGTCTCGCCAGCCTCGCGACCAGCTTGCCAGTTGGACAGCTTAGAGAAAGCGTTACTCTATAGCTGATAGACCTCATAGCTTCCTTTGAAATGCAGATGCGCGTGCCGACTGCGAGGCGGCCGGCCTGCTTCTGCGCGGCTCGCCAACAGCAGCAGCGGCAGTGCGTCGCGCGGGTGTCAACCCTGGCGCGGCCTGCAGTGGCCGTTCGCCCCGCACAGCAGCACACGTAAGCATCACTGGGTCGCAATCGCTTTGACGGGACCGCCGCGCGTCACGGTCGGTGCCACATGTGCCTAGGTGGTTGCGCCCGCCCCGTATGCCGTAGGCGCACCGCACAAATTTCCGTGCCAGGAATCGCCCTTTGCCTCACTCATAGTGCTTGTCCACCCCTTTCCTGTGCGGCTGGCATCCCACATGCACCTCCTCAGGACCGCCAAGCGGCCGCGCTGGGCTCCGGCGCGCGCAAGTGAGCGACGGCTGCCAAGGGGTCACCCGTGGGCCTTTTGAAAAGGAGGCAGCTGCCCGCCAAGGGTCCACCTCAGCTCCGACCACGGCTCGCGAGGGTTTCGTGATTTCGCCGCAGAAGCACTGATTTTAACAGACACGCAACAGCAATCCCACCCGTTGGGAAGCGTACGCCTTGCACATCTTCCCGGCCACCCTGTTGATGCCAAATGCCTCCCTTGTGCGTCACTCACGCGCGCACTCAGTCGCACTCTCCACTCAGTAACTCCCTCTCACCCACATGCACACACACACGCACACACGCACGCACAAACACAAGCGCGCACACACGACCTCTGCGGCACCCCTTCGTGCCTTGCCGCCCCACAGCTAGCAGCCAGCCAGCCTCTGATGCGGCCGCGCCCTCGTCCCTGGGGGCCAACGGCTTCGGCCTCACCAACGGGACGGTGGACGAGGACGTGTCGCCGTGTGATATCTCCAACCTGGATCAGGGCTGCCAGGCATACAACTTGCCGGTGAGGGGCTCCGCCAACATCGCAGCCGGGGTTTGCCCGCGTTTTGCTGTCCGCGTCTGAAGTGGAGGACAGGGCGCAGAGGGTGCGGCAAAGTCTGGTCGGGTTGACGAGCACGGGAGGTGTTGATTGAGGCGCGTGCTCAGTCTTAGGTCGGCTGGCTTGAGGTCAGGCCAGTTGCAGGGACCCATTGTCCCTTAGCATGGAGCAACAGGCTGAGACCTTTGCAACCGCGGGGATCGCCTTGCCTAGGCGATGCTCTTGCAATGGGAGCAGCCACAGCACGTCGTCTTTGCTCCGACTGACCGCCCCCAATCTGCGTCCGTCGAGTGCGCACACGCGCGCCCACGAGTGCACACACACACACACACACAAACACACACACACACACACACACACACACACAACATACCACGCACAAATGCTGCCAGGTGAACGACTGGGCGCACAGCAGCCTGAGCATCGTGGTGTTGGGCGCATCTGGTGACCTGGCCAAGAAGAAGATATTCCCGGCCCTGTTTGCGCTCTACTACGAAGGCCTGCTGCCTCCCAATGTCCAGTTCTATGGGTGGGCACCGCCGCTTCCAGAGGCCCGGGCGCGGTGCAGCAAATGCGAGGACCCAAGGAGGGCCGCAGTGCGGCGCCAACGCGGGGTGTTGGGGCGGGCGGCGGGACCACCTGCGTGACAGCGCCCCTGCTGCCGGTTGCCATCGGCGATCTGGCTCCACCAGCCCCTACCCTCTACGCCCCACTTTGAGGGCGCCACGCACGCACCGAACACAAAGTGTTGCTGCCCCTGCCTCCATCGGCCCCCACAACACCATCCGCCAGCTATGCGCGCACCAAGATGACTGATGCCGCGTTCCGCGAGATGATCGGCAACACGCTGGCCTGCCGCATCGACGCGCGGTGCGCTGGGGTGCCTGCCATCCATGAACCCGGGGTTTGGCCCTAAAGCTGGGGCCACCCATCCGGCGCCCGTTGCATGGAGGGTTGACACTTTAGAGGCGATGGCAGCGCTGGCCTTTGCTCAGTCGCCTGTTGGATGACGACAGCCGGTAGCATGCGTGCAGCGCAGGAGTCTAGCGAAGATGCAGGCGCAGCCAACGGCGCGGCTCCCCGGCCTCGCGACCCGCGTCACGCTCCCTGAACCTGCATGCGCGCGGCCGACTGCCGGCTGTCGTGCCAAACAAACCGCCGCCTGCCAACCCCCTTCCCGCAGGGAGCGCTGTGGGGACGCCCAGGCCAAGTTCCTGGAGCGATGCTTCTACCAGGCCGGGGCCTACGACGAGCGGCAGGCGCGCCGCGGTCGATGGTTGAGCCTCCATCCAGCAGCGCCGACTGCCTGTCTCGCCTCAGCCCCTTCCCCTGCCGCCTCAGATCTGGGCCAGTCGTCGCCCAGTCCCAATACGCCACCCAGCAACGCACCCACCCACCCACCCCGCCTCCCCTCGCGTCTTCTCTCCGCTCACCCTTCTCAGGGCTTCTTGAACCTCAACACGCGCATGACTCAGCAGGAGGCCGTCATGCCGCGCGCCAACCGCATCTTCTTCCTCTCCATCCCGCCAAACGTGTTCCTCGACGCCACGGGCAACGCCGCGGAGTGCGCCTCCAGCAGGCGCGCCGCATCCCGCACGCACTCGCACCGTTTCGATGGCCGCCCGGGGGGGGGGGGGGGGGGGGCTTGTGTAGCCGGCACATTAGGGTTTGCTCGCGCCGCGGCATAGTGCGCCTTGGAGACAGCCATTGTCTCGCACGCCCGCTGCGGCGCCCACTCGCCGCTTGTTGTGTGGTTCGCCACTTGCCCTGGGAGGGCACATGCTCTGACTTCTTGTTGCCTGTTGACCCCAACAACCCCATTGCCACCTTTGTTGCAGGACCGGCTGGACGCGCGTGATCGTGGAGAAGCCGTTTGGCCGCGACAGCGACAGCAGCAAGGAGCTGGCGGAGGGGCTAGCGCGCCACCTCAGCGAGGACCAGATCTACCGCATAGATCACTACCTGGGTGGGCGGGTGATTTTGTGGGGGGGGGGCCGCCGCGGCGCTTCGATGCCTTTTCTTGACAGCCGCAGGAGTAGGTAGGGCGGCTGCAAGTAATGTGATGGTTGTGCAGTGCAGATGCCAGCCCCCGTCACCAGCTGCGCTGTGCATCGGAAGCCGCAGGGTTGACCTGACAACTCCAATGCTTGGGCTCTGTTGGTGCCAATTCAAATGCAGCACAACCCGCATCACAGACCACAAAACAGACCGAGACAGCAGCAGTTCAGCTGCAAGATGCGATCTGAACAACGCAACGCTGGCCCTAAACCTTACTGACCGCAGGCAAGGAGCTGATTGAGAATCTGACGGTCCTGCGGTTCAGCAACAGCGTGTTTGAGCCCCTCTGGAGCAGGCAGCACATCCGCAACGTGCAGGTGCGGCGTGCGCAGTACAGACTGAGGGCCCCCCACTGCCGGCGCGACGGCGATGGCGATGCCTGCGGCGGCGGCTTTGCGGCGGGCACCGCAGCGGGTCGCTGCCTGCACCAGTAACCATCTCCTCTCTCGCCTCGCCTGGGCGGTGCCGCACCTTCCTGCGTTCCCCCCAAGCAGACCCGCCTTTCAAATCCACGCCTCGACCCCCAAAACCGTCGCAGGTGATCTTCAGCGAGAACTTTGGCACGGAAGGCCGCGGCGGCTACTTTGACCGCTACGGCATCATCCGTGACGTCATCCAGAACCACCTTCTGCAGGTGGGTTACGCAAGCGGGCTGATGTCAGAAGCACATGTCCTGTGTTGGGTGGCGCGGCCCGCCCCGCACGCCTTGCGTGGCGTGCCAGCTGCGAGGGGGCGACCTTGCTCACCTCTTAAGGCGTGCCAATCGGCGCCACGTCACCTGCACCAAACTGCAGATCCTGGCCCTGTTTGCCATGGAGCAGCCCGTGTCGCTGGATGCAGAGGACATCCGCAACGAGAAGGTCAAGGTGAGGGGGCGCCCCGCTCGTCATGCCGGACACAACCCCCTTTGTTTCTCATCAGGGCTTGTCCAGCTCGCTCCCAGCATCACCTTTGCCCACTTGCACGGCATTTTGTGTCTGTCCTGCATCCGGCTCCATCGCTTCAGAGCCGCGGTCTCTTCACCTGAAACGCAAGGCGGCGGTGTACTTCAACCCTGGACACCCCTAAGCTTCTCATCCCAATCCAGGCTTTTCATTCCATCCCAAGCTTTTCACTCCGATCCAAGCTTCTCGTTCCAATCCAAACTTCCCACTCTCTCCCATGCGCGACCCATCCAGGTGCTGCGCTCTATGAAGGTGGTGGGCACAGAGGACGTCGTCGTGGGCCAGTACAGGTGGGTGCGCCACTGACAAAGCACCCGCCGGCTGGCGCTGCCGCCAGTGATGGGCGATCGCGCCGCGCCACCCCATCCGCCTTGGCGCCAGACCCCAACGACCTGCTGGGGCCGGGGCTTAAGGGCGCGAGCGTGTTGCTGGGTTGCAGGCGCACGCGCCGGCGGCCCGTGCGCTTCCGCAGGCAGACCCACGGCACGGGGCGGGCCCCAATACGCACCACACCTCCCAATGCCTGGCCGCGACCTTGCGCGTCCCTCGGTTGACATTCGAACCCTCACCGCCCCTCATTCCATCACACCTCATCCCCGCCCCCTGCCCGGCCCCCTTGCCCTGCGTCCCCCAGGGCCAAGGGCAGCCTGCCCGGCTACCTGGACGACACAACGGTGCCAAAGGGCAGCCTCACACCCACGTTCGCGGCAGTGGCCATGTTCAGTGAGCGCCGGCGCCGCGCTTGCACGATCCTAACCGCACTGTTTTCTCTCTGTGTGCGGGCTACCCATTTGCGCGGAAAAGTTTCAACTGTGCCCAGCCCAGGGAAAATTTGCGCGCCATTTGAAACACTCAGTTCAGCTGTCATCGGCTTGAATCCCTTGCTCGCCTTGTTGACTGTTTCGAAGGTCATATGCATGATCTGACCGGCCCGGCCACCTCCTTGAAACACCCCTTGGATGCGCTGCAGTCGACAACGCGCGGTGGGACGGGGTGCCGTTCCTGCTCAAGGCGGGCAAGGCCCTGCACAAGCGCTACGCCGAGATCAGGGTGCAGTTCAGGTGGGGCGCTGACGGTGGTCGGTGCGTGCGCATGCCTTGTCTCGAGCTCATGTCTGCAGCAGCTGTGTGTGTGTGTGTGTGTGTGTGTGTGTGTGTGTGCGCGCGCGCGCCAGGCTTGTGCGTGCAAACTGGTGTAACAGCGCTGCTGCAGCGGCTGCTCCTGCAGCAACAGCGGCACCCTTGAGCCGCCTCAACCCCACACAACGACTCTGCTGCCCCTCATCCAGCTCGCCCCTTGCTGCTGTCGCTCTCCTGCACCGCCGCCACTGTCCGCTCGGGGCGCGCCATATGAAGCACCATCGCATCACAAGGGCTCTATCCACATTACACCCCACCTCCCCATTCACCGCCCATCCACCACGCATCCACCCCTGCCCGGCCCCCAGGCACGTCCCTGGCAACCTGTACCGCAGCAAGCAGGGCAGCAACCTGGACGCCCACACCAACGAGCTCGTCATCCGCATCCAGCCCCAGGAGGCCATATACCTCAAGATCAACAACAAGGT